AAAAAAAAAAAAAAAAAAAAATTTGATTTCGGCAAAAAATCCAATCTGAGCATTAAGACCTGCAGTGTGAATGTAGTCCTAGTGTACAGTCCAAGGTCTTGACCCACACTGTACAGCGAACCAGCCATTTCCCCATGAATGAAGTCCTCCTTTAAACCACTAAAGTACTTTAAGTGCCTCTACTGCTAATGATTGAGGTGTGAAGAGCCGACATTTAATCAATCATGGGAGATTCCATGCGACAAGTGGCTCAGTCCATTAAAGTACATTCATGTACAAATCTGATGCTTTTCTTTTTGGCTAGGGAGTCTACTTGCAATTGTTTGGCAATAGACTGACATAATTGTGCATGTGGCTTTTCAACATTTAAGCAGAAGTGTGGCAGAAGTAATGAAATCTGAAAAAGTGGTCAGTTGGACACCTTGAAGATGCATGTATATTGATAGGTGGAAACAGTGATGCATCTCGGCTGTCCGCTTGTGTTCAGATCAGAGACACATTTTAATACCATGTCTGGGGCTGTCAAATCATTTACGGAGTACAAGGTCATTACAAAGGCTGCAATGACAGAAGATTTTCAAGGTATGATAACCATCTCAGAAAATATGTTTCATGGTATAAAATACTGTCCAGTTATCTTCAGCAAAAATGATTTTTGTTGGAAATGACTGACAGTTGACTGCAGTGCCAGATTGACCCTATAAAATAAAACTATAAACAAAAAATATAAAAGGCATGCGACTATAACATTATACAACTAAAGTCTGTTTGCGTGTTGCAGTAGTAGAGAAAGTATTCACATTCTTGATTCAAGTTACAGTACTACTACTACCACCACATTGTAAAAGTACTCTACAAGTAAAAGTCCTGCCTTAAAAAAAAAAAAAAATAAATAAATAAATTTACATGAAAATGTACATCAACTATTAAAAGCACTGGTTAACAAGGTTTGTTTCCTTCATTGTTTGTGTGCCAGATAGACTGTGTGATAAGTTTAACATTTTCCCATCATGCAATGTTTTTGAGAAACGGCTAATTTTGTAATATAAATTACAAAATTTTCCAAATGGGGTGTTTTGCATAGTCATGGGCGCTCAGGTTTAGCTGCCTAGCAGTAGCTCATGATGTTCTTAGGTCAAAATTATTATATTTTACATCCATAACCAATGCAATTTATACTACAGACTCTTAGCTAAAATACTGCAAGAAAATAGGATTACGTGTGCTCAGCCATGCTTAGACATGCCTGCGTCTTCAAGACTATGGCTTGTTTCCATGGCAACACAACCCTATATACTGAGCAGTATTAGTCTTTCTAATTGATGTCAGTGTCCAAGAATATTACATTAAAAATAAAATTAGAGTTCAAAGGCTGTGAATTTATAAGTTCTGAAATGTCATGCCAATGTGGCAACAGCAATGAAACATTTTGTTACATCTCTGGCAAGTTCACTTTGAGAATATGATAAGTCTCAAAAAGACACGAGTTATACTTCTGGTGCAAAATTGCTGACCAGGGCAAAATATGGGCTCCTCATACATGTTGTGCATCTTGTACTACCAGTGTGCTAGCTTGGCTGAAGGGTGTGTGTCCATCCATGCCATTCGCCATCCCAATGATTTGGAGGGAGCAGAAAGATCATGTGACTGTCACAAACATCTCAGGATTTTCTTCCAAGAACAGGTCATTTGAGTATCTGAACCTTGCCTCTGCAACAAAACCAGTGCTGCACGATGAAAATCTTCCTGTTCCAAAACCACCATAGGTGTGGACTCTGGAGGACGATGAGGCAGAGGTGGACAACCCGATGCAGATTGAAGCTGTTGCAGCTGCTGAAGATCCAGATTTCGAGCCATCAACATCCAGCAATCATTTAATTTCTCAGGCAGAGCTCAATAATCTTGTCAGAGATTTGGATTCATCGATGAGCCAGGCAGAACTGCTTGAATCAAGGTTGCAAGGATGGACCCTATTGCTGTAATGAAGATTTGACCCAATTCTTCATATAAACTGACAGTCTGACCTTTTGTAGAGACATTTAAAGCTTACTTTAAATGCATAATTGCAGGTTTCTTAAAAACCCTGCATGATACAAAAATTATAAATACACATGTGTTCAGCGTGTGAAGATCTTTTGGTTTCACCAAAGATTCTAGAGGAAACAGATCTTGGAATAAAATTAGTTGGCCAGTAAAGTGGAAGTAGGCAACTCAAAACAGAAAAATGTTATACATGTACCATTTTGAGATATCACTACATTAGAAGCTTATCACTTAAGCATTGATGTAAAAGCAGGATTTGACCACTGTAGCTGGTTGAGATGGAGCTCTTTTTAACCAATTTGTATCCAAGTGCAATTATTGATACCTTTCATTATGATTGATTCTGCTTATTATTTTCTCTATTAATCGATTGACTGGTTTGTAAAATTTCTGACAATACCGAGAAACGCTGTCACAATGCTCTAAACGATTATCAAAATACTTTTTTCTATAAATGCATGATAGTGCTGCCAGACTGATCCTGTCTGCACCTTCACTAACTGAACTTTGTCAGCCCCCGGTGCTGGGAAAGTGTGCGCTTTTCTTTATTGGTCAGATCGGGATCAGTGAGAGTCCTTTAAGCTAAATGATAGATAACGTGGAAAATTTTGATGGCACATTTTATGACCAGGGCTTATAGACACACATTTTATTGTTTGGAATTAAAGTTGTACAACAGGATGCATACTTTAATTTGCACAGAGGGATGGTGTTATCAAAGCTGTTTGACATATCTAAAGTAATTCTGCACTGCTGATCAACTTTCCTTTTTTGGTGGATGGATACTTGTTATCCTCCTTGAACTGCCACCTTATTGTGGTGGAGGGGTTTTGAGTACCCGAGTGATCCTAGGAGCTATGTTGTCGGGGGCTATATGTCCCTGGTAGGGTCTCCCAAGGCAAACAGGTCCTGGGTGACGGGTCAGAATAAGAG